CTCGCCTTCATTTGCTGTAACAATACCATTTAACTAAAAATGCAACCTTGTTTATTTTCCTCAAGCTAAATGAATAAATCTGGACATATTTCAGCCTCTGCGAAATTACAAAACCATTTTTGATGTCTATTTCTTCCTGAAAGCAAACTGCTTTTGCACAATGAATCTTGGGAACTAGCTTGTGATCAACCATCAATAATTCAGGCGGACTGCATGTGTGCTGTACACGGAAAGATGACAGCTTTACTCTGGGAATGAAGAACTGCCAGCTTACATTCCAGATAGGATGTTAAATGATTTTGAAATCGTAGAGGTCAGGGGGTCCTGTAGAAGAGTTGTCAGTTCCTAAAGTTTAGTCCTGCAGCTGTGCTGGCAGGAGCCGTGAATGTTGATCATGGAACACTTAAGCTGTACTGTTATTAAAATCTATACTGCATATAAAATAAATTGGATTTACTGGACATGCTGTCTGGTCTGAGAGAGGGTTCTGGCATTTAAATGCACTAGACATTAGAGTGAAGGGTGGCTGTCCCTGCCAAGATGAACAGCCATCCATTTATTTGATTAAGCACTCAAGCCAATTCACAGCACTGAACTGTACAGCATACTAAAAGAAAGACAACAAAGAGCCAATCGTAGTATAAACAGGCTACAGTTCTCTCGGTTAATTAGTGGTACTTGCTAAGACATCATTACTATTGCTCATGCTTAGGATCAAGGATTTGAACAAAGTCTTAAACTTAAATTCTTAACCAAGCCTGCACTGTTTGCACTGCGGACATACATTATGCATTAATCTTTTTTAGGTGATTTGATTTACTGTTTTAAGCTGGCAGATGATAAAATACATGGGGAAAAAAAAAGGAAAAACCTGAGCCATATCCATTACATTTATGCATTTGGCAGACAATGACCTTGGTATTGCTAACACCTTCTACATGTGTATCAATAGAAATTATTAAACTGTATTTTTGATGAAAGCAGCTTTAGTAAGCATAAGAGGCTTCTTTCAAAAACATGCCCAAACTTATACTGACAATCACCACTTATATTTGATTCAGAATGTACAAACTCTAGTCAGTTTACATTCCTGTTTTGTTGTGCTTCTTTCTCTGCTTTTTTTCTAGATTGTTCTTCATAATATCTTACATTTAAAAGTAACTCAAAGGAGAAGGCAGAACTCCATGTTGTGAGGCAGAACTGCAAACAAAACCAGAAGAAATTCAGACCACAGCCGCATGCTTCTATGCATTATGTCAGGCTTATGCAATCACATCAGAGTGACACTGCTGTCAAAGTAAGATCCTGCAGACCTGAGAAACATTCCATTTTGTTTCACTGGCTTTGGAACGGGGCAAGTAATTCCATAGATGTAGGACCACCTGTCTTTTATGGAGCTCTGGCTGGATGCTCATTATTCGGCACACAACACACACTCCACTGTGTGTGACACAAACTTTGGTTCTTTTATACAAAACTCCTCTGGGACAGCAACAGATGTCCCTGGCTGTCAGTCACAGTCACATGACCACGGCCTTCTAGAGATCAAGAGCATTTCATGAACATAAACCATATGAACACTCACTCACACAGGTGCACAGATCCACTGTTTCAAATTCTAGGGAGCTGACTACTTAGACAGCACTTCTAGACATCATAGCACACTTTCCAGTAGGTAGCAAAATTATGCTGTCATATAAGACACCTGATTTTCGCATTTAAAATAATGCAGCATTGCATGTACGGACCCTTTTCACAGACTGTGATGACCCATTTCCACAGTTATCACAGTTAAATGCTCTAGCAAAGTTTTTGATGTTTTCTTTATTTTTATTGAATGTACATTTATAACACTATACTTTGTGTTAAACTTAAAACTGTAATTTGACATGTTTCTATCATTTCATATCTCTTGATATGTTTTTTCCTCTTTTGGAAAGTCATAGAAATGGCAAATGAGAGCACAAAATATATTTGTTGTAGTTTCCCAGTCACGACTATTGAAGTTTATCCAACTATGAAGACTTTCGTTTCCGAGAACCCTGGAAATGTGAAAAGGGTCCATTCTTCACAAACAAGGCAATCCCATAATGCACTGCAAAGTCAGTTTGAAATATAACCATAAATTCCATTCAAAGCAAATGTGTTCACTTGGTGCCTGCTTTTTTTTCATGTTTATGTTTTATTAAGATTACTTATTTATTTATTTATACATTTTATATAAATATCAATTCTGACAACAATGGTATCATAACAGTATCATCACATTTTTAAACCTTAATTTTGATATTAGACAATATATTAAAAGAGTATATATTTAATACATTTAAATTAGATAATAATAATTGATTAAATTGTGACTGAATTTTATAATATAATTATTATTATTTTTTGAAATCATTAAAATTACTTTTTTTAACCTAACATTCTATGGTCAAAATGTGTTTGTATCAAGTGTAAACATTAAAGAACAGCGATTTGCTGTGGCAAAGCCTAGCAACCACAGAACAACTATCAATCACACAGTAACACATTAAAGATGCTGCCTTTTAAGGTAGTTTTCTATGTGGATATATATGGGTGATGAGTCGGCTCACTATACGGTTTGGGACACAGCCAGTGACTAAAACGTGTGAATTAAGCAAGTATAGCAACACTTTAAGAGATAAAATTTACAAAAAAGCTGTTGACTAAGCAATCCTCTTGGATAAAGCTATTAAGGACAGGACAATTACATTTTAAGGAGCAACTTGGGGACAAAAATCTTGCAGATAAGTTAAAAAAACTCTTGAAGAACATGACATGCCCTTCCCTCGTTTTCTCTTGTCTTTTCAGACAGTATATTCCATCTGACAGCCCTCAGACTGGCCCCCAATTGTGCTCCTTATCAGTGAGTCACGGTTTTCAATGTCTTTACTGCCACAGAGGAACTGTTACCAAAGAGCCAAAAAGAGAAAAAGTGAGAGAGAGTCCAAGTACTAAAAGCCAAAAAGTGAATAACTGCACACGCTGACCTCTCCTGCTCCTGAGTGCGATAAAATGTCTTCGCCTCGGTGCTTTTCATCCATCAAAGTTTATAAAAAATAGCTGGAATCTGTAGCAGCTGTACTGTACATCGCAGTTTGCCACTCTTAACTTTATTTAAAAAATACATTCTAAAAGATATTTTAGCATTACAGAACAAAAAAAAATCACATTTACTGTGCATGCCACTCTAGATGCAACCATCAATTTCTGAGAAAAAGATGTCTTAGTACATTTATGTAATACAATGGGATGCTTAAATTTAGCAAGTGACCCCTGTCACATTCATGAGGTCGCTTCTTTCAATGCTTTTGTTCGACCATGTGCAGAAATTCTGATCTCTGCCGCTCACTGCTAAAAATACTGTTATATGGCCACCACAGACAAGCGTGTGATATTGTTGCCACACAATGGCATTTAAAAACAAACCATTTCAAAATCAAACTGACAAGCCAGTGCAAAATCAAGTATTGGGCTTAATAAATTACGCTTGACAAACCACTAATCACATGCAATGAGCAATGATAAATGCTTGACGTTCTCTCTATGAGAGATAAAACGGAAACTATTCAATATTTTTTGAATGCTTTTGAAAGAAGTCTCCTATTTTCACCAAGACTGCTTTTTGGTGAAAAACAATAATATTGTGAAATATCATTACAATTTAAAGTAACTGTTTTCTATTTTTATATATTTTAAAATGTAATTTATTGCTGTGATGGCAAAGCTGAATTCAGCACTCATTACTGCATGCTTCATTGTCACATGATCACATGACCTCAAGAAACATTTCCTATTATTATCATCAATGTTGAAAATAGTTGTGCTGCTCAATATTTTTGTGAAAACTGTGGTTTTCTTTATGATTCTTTGATGAAAGAACGTTCAGAAAAATAAAAAAGCATTTATTTGAAACTTTTGCAACATTATAAATGTCTTTACTGTCACTTTTGCTCAATTTAATTGTACTTGCAGAATTAAAGTATTAATATATTTCAACCCCAAACTTTTAAAAAGCAGGGTATTATCAAAAGATCTTTATATAATTATTTATTGACTTTAAGACATTTACACTGACTTTTAAGACATTTGTTAAACGTAATTGGATGAAAATTACCATTTTTATTTTTAAAAAGATAACTGGACACTTAAATATGCAAACATGTGCAGTATATACACACAGACACAAAATATTAGGCAACATATAGTGTATACTGCACAGTAGGCAGGTTTTAAAGGCAGGGTAGGTGATATGGTTCAAAAACAATTTTTGTTATGCTGGTTGAAAGTCTCTTCACATCCCGATAACAATCACTAAGTTAAGTGGTCTAAATGTATTTATATGTATTTTATATTGTCTGTGGAAAGCGTAGGACCATAAAATGTTCGACCAATCAGATTATTCGGTCTGAACATTATGATAAGCTGTCCTACCTGCCTGTCAACGTATGTATTTGCATACCGATGCGAACCCTGTTCGTGCAGACATGATAGCGCCTTCCATTACGCTATTGCAGACCGAGTGAGAATGGAAGGCGTTATTATTTGAATATTATGCACTTTGTACTGTGATGTTTTCTCACAGGTGAATGAGGTAATCTGTCAGCACTGCATTCTATCCTCCAACAACGCCGTATCTCATCATGTCACTGATTAGCCTCTGGCCTGCCTGTGCGAGTTCATGTGTTTTGGAGGAGGCGTGGCTTTGCAGAGTGATTATGCAGGGAAGGAGGGATCTTGCTTTCAAAACTAGCTTGCTATTGCTAGTCTTTCCGAAATCACCTACCTTTAATTGGCCATCATCTGGAAATAATGTGAAAGATAATAAAGGCTGATCACATCAACAGACATAAATACGTGAAGTGAGAGAGTGCAAAAGAGACAAGAGAGGTGAAGATTTGCTTCACTGATGACATGATCTTCAAAAGCATCATACTATTTTGAAACTCTTGGTACTGAATATAATACTTGATTACCTCAACACATGCTCTGATGAAGCGGAGCGATGTTATGGAACACTCAGCCGCTGACTCATTGAACATGATGGGAGGACATCAGGCTGACAGAGGTGAGGGTACCATGTCTCATCTGCGTCTGGAACAGCGAGACAGCAACAGACACAATATAATTAGAGGCATTGTTATAGCTGTGGTATTCAGAAAGCGCCTGCGGATCGACGTCGCACTCATCAGGACTGAGCAGCTAGTGGTTTAGAAGATGACAAGATCATGTCCAGTCATGTGCAAAATAAGTTAATGCTAAGCAGCTATGAATTGCACTCATGGCTAATCATGACTCATGGAAACAGTGTAGAGTTCTAGAAAATTGAATGAATAGAATGATAGGTACAGCAATAGAAAAATAAAACGATAGAACAATATAAAATGATAGAATGATAGACAGAGTGAAATAACTATAAAATGAATTGATGAAAGAGATAAATCGGTAGAACATTAGAACAATAGAATAAAAGAACAACAGAACGACAGATAACACTGTAGAACAAATGAATGAAATATGATAGATACAAAAATAGAATATTAGAACAATGGAATGGCAGATAGAATGACAGAACAAACAAAAGATAGATAGATCTAAAACGATAGACATAATGATAGAACGACAGAACAACAGACAGATAAATAATTGAAAGAACAATAGAACAACAGAACAACAGACAGACAGATATGATAGACAAAACAATAGAACAATAGACAGACAGAAATAATGATAGACAAAACAACAGAGAGACAGACAGACAGACAGAAAGAATGATAAACAAAACAACAGACAGACAGAAAGAATGATAAACAAAACAACAGACAAAAAAGTATAGACAAAATAACAGACAGAGAGACAGACAGACAGAATGATAAACAAAACAACAGACAGAAAACAATGATAGACAAAACAACAGACAGACAGACAGAATGATAAACAAAACAACAGACAGAAAAAATGACAGACAAGACAAAAACAGGTTAAGTAAACAATACATTAAGTAACTGTCCCTAGTAAACAGGTGCACTTTCTTTCTTTCTTTCTTTCTTTCTTTCTTTCTTTCTTTCTTTCTTTCTTTCTTTCTTTCTTTCTTTCTTTCTTTCTTTCTTTCTTTCTTTCTTTCTTTCTTTCTTTCTTTCTTGTGCACTTTCTTTCTTTCTTTCTTTCTTTCTTTCTTTCTTTCTTTTTAAGAGAGAGTTTCACCTGACTAATGTACAGCAGTTTTGTACAACTAAATTAAATGGTGGATGAAAACATACAGAAAGAAAGTGCTAAAATTCTTTATGGTTGTAATACAGTTTTTATGTGGCTCCAAAGAGCAATGAATCCCATCCTGAATTACAGAGATGGGATCTGCAAGCTGTCAGTTGGAGAATAAGCCAGGAGGCCTCAGGCAACTTCATGGAGGAGAGAGAGAGGAAACACAGGGACTGCAGAAATGAGCTATCCCTTTCTTGAAATAGTTTGATACTGTATACTATGACCTAAAAGTGTTCGTTTCATACATGTTTTTGTTACTTTTCAAACACTGGTCTCTCCGCGCTGGCGCTTTCACACTAGAGCAGGGGCCTCAAACTCAAACAACATGGGGACCACAAGCACTATGATTTTGTCCATCAGGGGCCAGTTGAACAGTTACAACAAATACAAGTGTTTCTATGACCATATATAAACTTTAGACAGTTATTGATGCCTCTATTGCATCAATAACTGCATCAAATATATACATAATATATTTCTTGCTGTTGCTGTTGCTGTTGCTGTATTTTTCATCAGGCTTAGACAATACTTTATGTGGGTCAGATAGATAGAGGGTGGAATGAAACTCGGGTTTGAAGTATAGTCTAAGCCTGATGAAAAATACAGCAACAGCAACAGCAACAGCAAGAAATACGGAGAAACAGCAACAGAATCAAAAGAAACTGCTCACATTTAGAATACAATCCACATGTATTCTACTGTCATAATGACAAATTGTGAACAGTAACTATACTGACATGGTAATCTATCAATCTTGAGAACTGTGCAGAGAGACTGCTGTCAACCACCCACTTTTCGCAAACCCAATCCAAGCTGAAATGCTTATTAATCAAAATGGAGCAAACTGTGAAGAAATTAGACCATTGGATCTTGATTCGTCTGGCTTTGTCTTTTTATTCTTCTTTAAAAGGTTAAGAATGTAATGTCTGTGCCACTAGCATCACCAAATACAATCGCAAAAATAATGAATGTTTTCAAACAGGTTTCCTTGAACACGCCTCCCTGTCAGAAAAATGGATAGCCACACCCTTAAACTCATACCAGTGGTTCATAAAATCTGTATGTCAGGCATCAGGCTGGTTGAACAAGAAAAAGTATTTTAACACTTAAAAAAATAACACTAGTGTTCAAAGGTTTGGGGTTGGTAAGATTTTTTTACATTTATGAAAGAAATCTTTTATGCTCGCCAAGGCTGCATTTTTTATTTTCTGGATTCAAAATACAGTAAAAACATTAATATTGTGACATATTACTACAACAACATTTTTCTATTTTAATATATTTTAAAATGTAATGCATTCCTGTGATGGCAAAGCTGCATTTTCAGCATCATTATTCTAGTCTTCAGTGTCTCTTGATTCTTCACAAGTCATTCTAATATAATGATTTGGTGCTCAAGAAACATTTCTTATTATTATCAATGTTGAAATCAGTTGTGCTGCTTAGTATTTTTGTGGAAACCATGATCATTCTTTTCAGGATTATCTAAAGAACAGCATTTATTTGAAATGGAAATCTTTTATATCATTATAAATGTATTTACTGTCATTTTTTATTAATTTAATGCGTCCTTCCTAACTAAAAGTATTAATTTCTTAAAAAATGTTACTGACCCCAAACCTTTGAATGGTAGTGTATGTCATGATTAGGCATCCAATAAAATTAATTATAACCCATATTAAAACCCCAACTGGCAGTCTGAAACAGAATTATTTGTAACCGATTAAAATGTGATTAAACTAGCCTTTTGATTTTTAATTTTGACTGTAAATATTAAAATAATGCAAACATTTATATACTAAATACATTTCAAGTAAAGACTATTTTAGCATTAACCTTAAATTATGATTGTCACTGATGACAGGAGAGTTACTTGTGGTGGCATTTTTAAAGAGCTCTCTTCATTTTCCAATTTGCATTGCTTAATGAACTATCCACTTGAAATGATGTTGTGATTGATTCGGCTGAGCTCAAGAGGAAGAGAGCAAGTGAGCGAGCAAGAGAGAGAGAGAGAGAAAAAATAAATGAGAAAATCTCTCCAAACACTCTAACTAGCTAACTGATATTTGGAAAAGGACTGGCGAGCATGTCAAGTCATAAGCATGTAGGTGGGCATTCTTTTTTTTATCATCGGTGTGTGTCGTAAAATCCATGCTAGTATGAAGCTGTCACTTTGATAATTTCCAAAGAGAAATAAACATACATTCTGATGCTTCCTCTGCATCACTGAACCAGATTAAATAATCACAGTCCAACAGACACCAGACAATCAACACAGTTCTGACAGGAGCCAATGATCCAGGCCACATAAATTACACACCCAAAGGAATGTTTTCGGGACACACCATTTAGCAATTCAATGGGATTTAGGAACACTTTCTGATGAGCTACAAAATGTTTGGGATGGGAGGAGAAAGACCTATATCTGTGTAAGTAGGGTTGTGATTTCCTATATCCCATTAGCATATTCCATAAATAGCTTTCTCCCTGTGTGTCTGAGTGTCATCAACCTTATCTAGGACATTTATCACGGAAGGAGAGACACATTTGTAAAGTGACATCTTAGTAAGCTGATCTCCTGACTGCTGTGGTGAAATTCCCACACTTTTAGTGATCTACTCCCCCTATAGCCAGAAGGTCAAGGCACTGTGGTCAATGTCAAAAGCTGCTTGACTGTCCTTCAGACACCACAAGGTCACGGGCAACTGTACTGAGGCAGTAGCTAAAAGTAATACTATGAATTTAATTGCATTTTTCATTAGATTAACAGAAGCTGTTTCCAAAATAGTGTGGCTATTCTTGTAATAGTGACAATTGGGAAATCTGATTTATTTTAATGATTCAGTTCATTCAGAAGGCTTGATTCAAAGAATTGGATTTAAAAAGATTAATTGATTCACATTATTTATATAAAAATATTTAGTTGGTAGTCTTGTCCCAGTTATGTACAGTACATATTGTTTTTTTTTTTCATTTTTAATAGTTGCATTTAGTGTAAGTTAAAATCCAATTATGTCATCGTCATTGAAATTCTCATTGTTTTTGTGCCAAATAAATATTGTTCTGATTGTAAAAATAAATTATATGATATGTATAAAGATATACTGGATATAAACTAGATATAAAAATGGTTTATGAAAGAATTATCACCCAGAAATAGTACATTTCTAGTCAATTTCACAAACAATTATAAAGAAACGGCAAGCAACACATTGAAATAAAAATGGAATTTTGCAGTAAAAAGACTGAAATAATATTTTCTTTTAAAACATACTCCAATAATCTTTTTTTTTTATTTAATTTACAACTTTTGAAAAAACATTTTTACAGTGTATATTGCCTAAACTGTTTTTCACAGTGCATTTTTAGTGTTTTTTTACAGTGTCTTTTGCTTAAATAGAGTATTTTAGTGTATAGCACATAAATTGTTTTTTTACAGTGTATTACTTAAATATTTTTTCAGTACACTGTACACAGTACATTGATATACATTAAAAAGTACACCGTAAAAAATATTTTAACAGTATACACTTGCTTAAAGGTTTTTTTACAGTGCACTGTAAAAAAAAAACAGTTTAAGCAAGTCAAGCAAGTGATATACACTGTAAAAAAATATGCTGTAAAAACCTATAAGTAATATATAGTGCACAATAAACTATTTAAGTGATATCACTTTAAAAAATACACCATAAAAACCTATTTAAGTTATATACACAAATAACTATTGCTTAAATAGTTTTAGTAGTATTCTTTTGTTAGCAGCTTCTAGTGCAGCTAACCGTAGTTTAACTGCATTAGCTTTTCACTCTACAAGCTGATCTACTGTATAGCAGCTTCACCAACACTCACTACAAAATTCTGAATAACCTTAAAACAGATGCTCCGCTTGCCTTTACTCTCTCAACAAGTGGCTATTCAATGGAAAACAATGTTCCACATAGGTGATCTGGCAACTGAGGTGATGAAATACATGCTGGTTAAACATGCCACCTTAAAACGGAGCGTGTGACATTTACAAGTTATTTACAGAGACAGTGGAATTTATCTATTATTAACGTATAACCAACTGAATTATTAACAATACCATGAGGGAATTGTTTATGCTTTGTAATGTGTAAACCTCTACCACTGAATTGATGAATAAATCACATTTGTTCTTGCAGGTGTGTGTGGGCATGCTGGGACTGGCAATTACACCAAAACAAGGGTATTAAAAAACAAACATAATTACTCACAGTCTTCAGCAGTGCTGCGAACAGGCATTTTCCTTACCTGCGGAGACGTCACAATACAATAACGCACCCACAGCTGCGATTAATTCACCCTAATTCACAAGCTAATTAAATTTGTCAGAGCCGAGTGCACTTTTTCCCTTTTTTTGCGGCTACAAATTCAACAAAATAAACCCGAGACGTCTCTCAGTTATGTGCGTAAAATAAAAAAATATGCAGAAATTCATAAGAGAGGTCAAAGTCGGTAATAACCTGTGCAAATGGCAAATCTTCCACAGATGGTTAAATATGCATGCATTCACACATTTCTCATGAAGCACCGGCTCCCAAACCTTCAGCTACATAAGCGGGGTCAAACGGGACACTGTCCTCCTTTCATTGAGGTTAATAATTTAGAGAGCAATTAGACAGGGAAGTGAGACGGTTTCATGTACTGGCGGGGGGAAGCTAGGGCAGTTAGGGGCCGTCCACGCTCCCCGGCCTTGATCTCGGGGCCCGGGGATCTACGTTGTGACAGTGACATTAACGAGCATTCGCAGTGAGCACGAGGCCGGCTCTGTGCCCATTAGCAAGCTCCCATCAGAGTAATTAGAAGACATATGCTCAAGATCAGCGCTTTCGGAAAGGCGTGCCAATGAGGGATTGATTTCTGGAGGGTTTTTTTCATACTTGGGCCCCCTACCTAAGCGCACATAATCTAATCTGGCAGTCTGTGGAGTAAACACACATCGAAAACTGCCTACGCAATTGCTCTGACTGGAGTGGCTTGTGAAATTGATGCCTTTATTGTGACAATCAAGCAGGAAAAGGCAACCACTGAAATGTGCCATGCGCAACCCAACTTCAGTTTCTCTCAAGTACGACTAGTGGCTATAATATAATACAATATAATATAAATGGTATCTAATAACACAAATAGCTTTTGTAATTGGTTAAAGTCGGGGTCAAAAGTTTCTTATGCTCACTAAGGATGCATTTATTTGATCAAAAATCTAAATTTTCTAATATGCTGAATTGGTTCTCAATTATAAACACTTATTATTGGTTCTCAGTTAATAATAATGGTTCTTATTATTATCAATATATTAAAAAAAAATTCTGCTTACTATTTTTGTAAAAATTATAATATTTTATTTAACTATTTTTATACTCTTTCTCTCTCTCTCTCTCTCTCTCTCTCTCTCTCTCTCTCTCTCTCTCTCTATATATATATATATATGCACACATACATACATACGCATACTAGGGGCTGTCAAATCGATTAATCATGATTAATTGCATCCAAAATAAAAGTTTGTTTACATAGTATAATAAATATACACACACACACACACACACACACACACACACACACACACACACACACACACACAGTATATTACATACTGTATATTTCTTAAATATATAGATGTATGTGTGTATTTATAAATACATATAAATATACACAGTACACACACATATATTATGTAAACAAAAACTTTTATGTTAAATGCGATTAACTGTGATTAATCGATTTGACAGCCATAATATATTTACTCATGATTTCATTTCATAGAATTACTATTATAACTGGTTGAATATTGCATTCATAATTTAGCTTTAAATTCAATTATTGTTTTTTTTTTTCAAGATTAATTTTAAGTGAGCATTAAATGACAGCAAAGGTTAGCTGTCCAACTACATGCCAGCACACATAACCTTAATCACAACCTACATTACTGCTCCGTTCCACCTCACTGAGTCTGACTGACAGTAATGCATTTGTCTGACACAGAACACCTATATTGTTGTGTATAGAGGTCAGCTTTCAGATTTAAAGGGTTAATGTGGAAACAGATTGAACCGAAAGGAGAAATATGTTAAATTTTACAATTGGGGCTTCGTCGCATTCAACCCCCACGTACGTGCTTATCGATCAAGACTGCTGGATGGCAGATTCCAAACTGATGGTATATGAAAGATGGTACTTTTATGCTTATTTGCTGAATTCAGTTCTCAAAGTAGTCAAACTTGGCTAAGTCCCTCAAATATTATTCATTCAGTCGCAGGAGACTAATCAGATGTGCGCCTGTTCCATACATGCAGTGTTCCGTGAAATAGAGATGGAACTAGGTTGTTTTGAATGCCGGTGTCTTTGTGTCCCTTCAGCATAGAGAGAGTTGGTCAGCTCTCTAAAATAGCACAGTCTCAGATGGTGCATAGATGCACAATGGTATTGATTCAAGCATTTGAGGGAAAATAAGCAACAGCTATCGACCTCCATCAACAGTGCACAAAACAAGACTAATCAGATGTGCGCCTGTTCCATACATGCAGTGTTCCGTGAAATAGAGATGGAACTAGGTTGTTTTGAATGCCGGTGTCTTTGTGTCCCTTCAGCATAGAGAGAGTTGGTCAGCTCTCTAAAATAGCACAGTCTCAGATGGTGCATAGATGAACAATGGTATTGATTCAAGCATTTGAGGGAAAATAAGCAACAGCTATTGACCTCCGTCAACAGTGCACAAAACAAACATGGAGAAACACAAAAATCAGAGGTCAGTAAATCTCCCGGAGCAGAGCTGCTTTAGCTCCTCATTTCCTTGGAAATATTCCTCTATTGTACTCTACGGCTGCTCAACAGGAAATGGTGGGGGTTATCAAATAGAACATAGCCCTCTCATGTTTGCTAAAACATGGCAATCATTTGGGATTTACTATCACAGCAAGGAGAAAGTTTACCTGTGATTGACCCTACTAAACATTCATTTATATTCAACTTCCTGGTTGTAAATGGTGCATTATATCAACATGCAAATATACATACACATCTGTACATATGCACATATTTACATACTGTACAGTACAGCTGAATTATGGTCGGGAAGATTTTTTAATAGTTTTTGATGTTTTAGATCTCTTATGTTCACCAAGGCTGCATTTATTTGATATAAACCAAAACTAAAACTACAGTAATATTGTGAAATATTATTAAAATTTAAAAGAACTGTTTTCTGTTTTAATACGTTTTAAAAAGTAATTTATTCTGCGAAACAGAAGTCGACACCCCTCATCGACTTCTGTTTATTCTAAAGTAATTTATTGCTGCTCAAGAAACATTTTTTATTATTATCAATGTTGAAAATAGTTGCACTGCTTAACATATTTGTTAGAAACTGATACATTTTTTCCAGGATTCTATGATAAACAGAAATTAAAGGAATTGCTCAAAATTGCTCGTTTTTTTTCAAATATAAATCTTTTGGAACATAAATGTCTTTACAGTCAATTTTCATATGCATCCTAGTATTCATTTCTTGAAGATAATCATAAACTCTTACTGACAACAAACGTCTCCTCTGCATGTCTCTGAGATATTTTTGTCACTAGATATCAGATCCCTCATTAATTTTTAGGACATTTCAGGGAATAAATAAATAAAATCTTTGAAATTAGAGATCTAATTGCTTACAAAAGCAAAAGCATACTTCAAAAAGCTTTCAACATGCCGCACAATTCGAGGTATCATTCGTGTCCACAGCATAAACTGTGTGGGACAACTTACTCATCAAAGTTAGCATTAGGGGTTTGTTCAAATCCCTCATCCTTGCAGTAGCAAGCGCCACTAAAATTACAGTATTTATGACTTGAGTGCTGACAATATAAAACCTTTTGAACCTTTCAAAAACACGACTAATAGACATCATCAGTCCTCAATGTCAGCGGTTCTCTGGTCTGCAAGAATTCCACTGGTCCATGCACAATTTCTCCACAGATTCAGCACACTTGGGGGTTGCAGACAGGGTGAATGGCAGACCACCGGGTCCCAGTAAGGCATGATGTTAATGGCCCTTAGCAAATGTGCCGGGTCCGGAGCTGTGAACCACAGCCGGGTCCATTTCACGGTGTCTGCCCGAGACCCGACTGCATTCACTCTCTCTGATGAAGAGTTCCTGGAGATACAACAGCCCGTGAGCAGGACCTGCCAGCTACTTATCAAGAAATCGCCATTTCGTTTGGTGCTTCAAGATGAAATTGATGCACTATGTGTACAGCATATTTCTCTTATGTGACAAACAAATAGGGTTGGGTATCGTTTGGGTTTTTTTCGATACCGGTGCCAAATCAAAACTTTTAAAACGGTTCCGGTGCCTAAACGGTGCCTGAATCGATACTTATTAAAAAAATAAAAAATAAATAAAAATTCCCCAAAAATATGATGGATTGGTGGGGTTTGTGGGTGCTAGTGTTAGAAGGTCATTATTTATAATAAATAATCTGGAGTATTTGCTGCTCAACAGATCCTGAGCTCATTGACAAATATCTGATCTTGTAAGATGTTCTCTCTTTACACAGAGTGCGTGTGATCGCGAAATCGAAAGTGAAAATAAACAGCGCAAACGCTCATTCAAAAATATTTAAACACACCGCATCCTGAGTGTGGCTCCCTGATGCACCAAAATTATATACAATATTAGAATGTTTAAAGAAGTGGGCACGAAAATCGCGGAAGCGAAATGAAAATGAAAATGTCTTAATGAAAAGTCTATAACATAATTTGGTTAAAATTTCTCAATGGTAGTGTAAAACAACACCGTTTTTACCCTGTCAAAAACAGCTCTTTTCAGAGCAAGTTGTTTTCTTGCATACTGCTTTAAATGCAAATGAGCTCTGCTCACCCCGCCCCTCTCTTCCAAGCCACTCTCTGAGAACTTTAGCCGCATTCATCATGAAACTTGCTAACTAGCACGTTATTAGGAAAGGCGATTTGCAAAGATTCTTAAAAAAAACATATACTCACTTCATAGACAGCGAACATAGACGCATTTAGGTAGAACGGGGGCGCATTTCCTTCACAAACAAACGTAGTAAAACCCTACTGTCAATCAACAATCATGGGAGGGGCCTGGGTCTGTGTGACGTCACACAGACAAGAAGCTGAGATCGGCTTGATTTGAGAAAGGGGTAATGGTTTTAGTAGATTAAAAAAAACACTGGGTGGATTTTTAACATTATAGGGTGGTTGTGTACACACACTGCCAAGACACATTTATGTTCAAACAACATGTAAAAGTGCATTTCGC